TCATCACCCAGTCAGAGGTGCAAGGGACCAGCAAGGGAGGGCCTCTGGCATGAGGAGCATGAGGACTGTCCTCTTCTTAATAGAGGCTGCAGAGCAAGACCACGTGCTGCAGGAACACGTTTTTGCTGGCCTTTGCCAGCAAGACTGGGAAGAGGCTAAAACTCCTTTAACTGCCCCATTTCTTCCTCCCAAAATACCAATGTCTACATAATAATTAAAAAAAATCAAAAATACCTTTTTTATTAAAATTCTTTATTACAATTATTGCTGTTAAGCGATGACTAACAGATCTGCTTCTGATATTACAGAAATCCACTGATACAATGGAATTGGTAACTGATGCCCAGCTGAGACCAGCATCACCAGTGAAGATACTGGTCTGCTAAGAAGCAGCACATGGGAAAGAAACAAAGCATTTACCACTGGTCTTTGGATACAGCCTGGCATGCCCTATAATGCTGGATTGTAGTATGTTACACCAACCTTCAGAAACTACACTGCACAGACCTCTTCCGCTCGAGACAGATGGTGTGTCCAACCCCCTCACGCTACCCGGCTTCTCTGTTGGAGGAGAAAAACCACCATCACCAAAAAACCCACGTGGACTGTTTGTCCTTCATGAACGCCAGCAGCTGTAACCTTCTGGCAACGTAGCGTTACCTGAACCCAGTGGGGTTTGTCTCTGCTAGAACGGCACAGCATGAGAAAAACCAGTGATATGCAGAGATAGTTCATTTTATCCTACAGTAAGAATTATCAAATGGAAGTCTATCAACAGACACAGTAGGCTGGAACTGAAAAAATTAGAAACTCATGAGAGAGTACCAATGAAACAGGTATTTGTAAAACCAGATGCATCTCCATACCTCATATTCAGGCATGGACTCTTTAAATTTCTATAAATGTCTAACACAATAATAAAAAAAAAAACAAAACCTCTGGAAAAGGCAAACACTGTTACTCCTTGAATAGAAAAGGAAATGAACCACAGATAAAGACTGGAAGTAATTTCCAAGCCGTACTATAAGCCCATGAGAACAGTGGCCAAGTATCAGACAAAAGTAGGCTGTTCTGTATCTTAATAAAATGGTATTTTAATTTATGATTTCCTTTTCACAAGAAAATTCAAAGAGTTCAGAAACAGCGACAGGAACATAGAGTCTTTTTGAAGCCAAGGCTGACCTGACTGTTCAGAGAAATGTTTTGACCACTCAACAACGGTCAGAAATCCTGTTGTAGTTTGTAAGTGTGTCGTAACAGGCTTAAAGATGGAATTTAAAAAATGCAAACTTCACTGCGTAATAAGTGCAGCACCAAAACTGGAGATAAGCTAAAAGAGAAGCTGCAAAAGAAATGGGAGCCAGGAACCCCCCTGCCAGCAAACAACGTGTTTGCAGAGGAAGCCTGTGCAGCAGATACAGGTAAGACTGGTGATACATGGGGTATTACTGGAAACTTTATTGCACCATCACATATAAATCTTAGCAATACAATGACAGCACCTGCAATTCTCAGCTGATTTAAATGAATACAGACACTGCTTGCATCTCTGATTAGTAAGACTGAGTAGTTGATGAGGATGTTTTGTTACAAGTTCAACCCCCAGCATTAGTTCACTTACTGCACATGGTACTTCTCCCAGGTCTTCTGGGCCCCGGTCCTAGTAATTTAAATGTCAAATTTCCTACTTTGCTTGATGAAGTTAAGCCCTCAAAACCAGGGGATGCACACGTTCTCATCCAGGTAGGAATTTAATTTTTTTTTTTTTTCAGTAAAAGAGATAAGGCACACGAAGATATTTGTTCCACTATTTTATTACATAAAAAGCTGATTGTCCATTGGAAATCTTTCACAAAGTGCAATCATGTCTTGTGTAGCATCATTGACTAACTGTTTCTTCTGAGAAAGATAGCTGGGTTAAAAGTACCATAACTTAGAAAACTTAGTTATGGCACTAGACCAGAGAAACCACTAAGCTGAGTGGAGAAAGGCAGCAGACATTCAGCTGTTGTGAAAGCAGATTATTTTCCACATACCTCTGTGTAGTATTGAGAAAAATAAGGAAATAATAAGAGCTATAAGCACCACTCTACTTGTTGAAATTAAAGGCTGTGTCCAGATTGCCTGTACGTAGAGACAAAAATCTGTTATTGGAAGTCTGATGAGACTCAAAAGCACACCACCAATAAAGCAGAATCCAACATCTGCTGGGGGACTTACAGGACATTAATGACCATAAGTAACTTTTTGAAAATACTTCTTTACATGTATATTATATTTTTATATGAAAGTGATATTGTGTTCAGGCCTCCTAAGTCATTACAAAACAACACCTGCTCATCTAACACTGCACCAGGACAAGCGCGAGGGTCTCAAAGACTCACTAGTTTTAAAAGGGAACAGAAGTTGTTTTGGAGTAGAGTTACAAATTGCTGTACCAGAGAAAGCCTGGCTGGTGAAGAAGCTCCTGCCAGACTGCCACATATACTTACGAGCATATTTATTTGTTGAGTGCAAAGCATGGAAAAGGGAGAAGAAAAATGGAAGACAGAAAAGCTAATCGAAGGCAGTGTTTCGTATTTTAGATCAAAAAGCAACCCTCAGTCATTACTCCTACTAAAAACCTAAAAAACACCCCAAACACTTTAATATTTAAATTAGCTATGTGGCACAAAACATGTCTGCATTTGGCATAGGCAACTTAATGACGCAAAACAACCAAACAGAAAACCTGGTCAATTGGCTGGCTGAATTTCAACGAAGCTGCCCTGCCTCCTTTCAACTATAAAGGGAAAAAAACCCAACCTACTGCAAACATAGATTTAAGGATGACTAAAACAAGTACCTAGTCTCAAAAGCAGGGCTATAGTTATAGTGTAGTAATTGTTTCTCCTGGGCTAATTTGCCTTTGTATTATTTGTATACTGTTTTGCTTTGCTTAATTCGATCAAGAAAAAAAAAAAAAACACATTTACATTTCATCACCTGTGGAAATGCAGTTCCTGCAGTTTTCCCAAAGTTTACAATTATAATCTGAACTGTCACCTCTATGCCATAGCTTTAAGGTGTAAAAAGAAAAAACTCATTAATGTTTCATACTTAATAGTTTCATCTGGCCTCTGTCCATCTCTTGAGAGGAGAAGCAATGTTCTTTGAAAAAAAGGGAGGTGCAAACCCAGAACACTTGACAAAATGATAAACTGGTTATGAACAAGAAGTGGACAGCATATCTCTCAATGCAATGTGATATCCAAGTATCTACAGAGACTCTTCTCAACTCCATTACACACTTGGATTAATAAAATATATGCCCAAGGAAGCTGTGGGTGCTCCATCCCTGAAGTGTTCAAGGCCAGGCTGGATGGAGCCTGGAGCAACCTGGTCTAGTGGGAGATGTCCCTGCCATGGCAGGGGGGTTGGAATCAGATGATCTTTGAGGTTCCTTCCAACCCAAACCATTCTACGAATCTATGAATATAAAAGTAATACAGTTAAACCTGAAGAAACATATTATTTTCATTTTTCCAAGCAGACAAACAGGCACAGACCTGTTTAATGAGTGTGTCCAGAAAGGCTTCTTTAATCCTAAATTCATACAAATATAATTAAAATAATAAAAAAAAACCCAACGATCACCTGGAACCTCAACCAACATCATTTAGTTCCTATGTACAGAAACCAAAGACAAGTTAGTCTGCCTCGCAAATACCTAACTAAATGCCCAGTTATTTAAAGAGTTTTACTACTCAGTGAAACAGTAAGTTTAGGGACATCTTTTATTTTAGAAAAAGCATTCAGTCAGTCACAGTTTCCCACTTTTGATACTGAAGTGTTCCACAATATCAACCATTATGGTTCAATTAGGACCTTTTATCCAAAACACTTGGATTTTAGCACCTTAAATAAAGAGTCAAAGTAACATCATAGTAGTATCGAATGAAGACAGTTAATACTGTGCTCATCCTCTGGAAAATGATGTGGACCACACATGAGGTGCATTTAGTCCTTAGCAGATAGTAAGGCAGAAGGAAAACAACTCTAAGCAATGCATTTGACTGAATACAATCTGAATAATAATAAATCCTTCTCAATTATATGACGTCTTTCAAGAAGAAATCGTATTTGCTCCCATACATCAAACTTCATAGCATTTAAATCAAATGTTCATTTATAATCAACCACGACAGTCAGGAATCTGTACCCAAAAAAAGAAATATAATCTGGTTATTAAACATCAGTAAGTGGTCATGTCTAACTCAAAGTTCCGCTCTATCCTGTAACTAGTGCTTTCTCAAAGCTTTAAACCAGTAAAAGGAATTAATTTCAGAGCTACAGCTATTCTGTCTAGCTCACTGTCCAGATAACAGGGCACACATAACATTTGCTTCCACAAGCACAGTTCTTTGGCAACAGCAGCAACCTGAACGGCATGAATCTGATTTTTCCTTTCACCCCCACACGGCTCGCGGGGGTACTGTAATTCCGTTAACATCCCGGCATCACCTCTGAGGGTACAAGATCTCTTTCTGCACTGATTTGGAGTGCATGAGCCAAATTTTTGCCTAGCTTCTAAGCACTTCTGTGGATTTCTGGGGACATACAGAATGGGTTTTGTTTATTTTAAAGACACAGGCAGCCTAACCAGACATGTCCTAAATGCTGCAATTTCAGACATCTTTGGCCACTGTAACACTATTCTTTGCAATTTCAGGCAGTTTTGCTAACTGAGTCTAACAAACTGGCTTCCAAGAGAATCTTTTAGCCCTGTACTTTGCTATCTAACAGCAGCTATGAATCAGTGACCAACTTGCATACCCAAGACGAACATGGCTACTACAGATGAACATTGGTGTATTCCGAGACTGTATTTCTTCTTTCCACTTAAACCAAGCTTGTGATGTTAGACACATAGAATCGTATGTTAATTTTAAACAACAACAAAAGCATAACAAAAATTACAAACTAAAGTAGTCAATCGCTGGTATTAAACATTACCTTTCCTGTAACTAAACAAATGGCCAATATTAATAAGTAAACTGGTGCATTTCAACATAGAAGTCTTTCAACCTCAGTAATCTCCGCTTCCTTCCTTCCCCCTCCCCAGTAAAGCCTGTATGGAAAATTAGTTTCCCTTCAAGGAACAGCAGAGCAGCGTTCACTCTGGTTAACGCGTCCGTCATAGATCCTCTCTCTGTTTGGTGGCTCGGTTGTCCTCTTTGATGCTATCAGCTTTCTTGTCTGCATCCTTTTTCTTCTTTGCTTTTTCAGGTTTTGTTTTGTTTTTCACCTTCTCACTTTCTTCTGCTCCTTTGCCAGGATAAACCTGACCTTCCAGAGTAACATCCGCACACCTTTCTTGGTTTATCAGAAAGTCTTTGATCTCCCAGGCGTAACCGCCATCGCGCAGCATAAAGATGGCACGATTTGAGCCAACAATAAACCTAGAGGAAAGGTACATTTTTTTTTTTCAGTTAGCTCTGTGCCTTTCAAGTGCTACAACATCTTCCTTAATTCAGAGCACCTCCACGACTGAGGTGTACATTTAAGAGCAAGAAGTTGGTGGTGTTGTTGTTGCCCAGGGATGGGGAGAAGAGAACAATTTTCCAGCACAAGTAATAACAAAATGTATTAAGTTTACAAATAACCAAGGAGGAGTAAGAATATGAAGAAAACTTAAGAACTAATTTGGCACTACGTAAAATCCACTAACAGGCATTAAATTTGCTTTAGACACTTGCTGCAACCCTTCTCAGCCTCAGTTCAAGAGCGCAACATTCCTCTGTTTCAAAACGATCCTCTCTCAGAGGGGAAAAAAAAAAAAAAAAAAAATCAATCACATTTTTTAGCCAAGGGAACAAAAAGCCTTTTGTGGTAACAAGTCTTCCAAGTGTGATGCTTTCCATCAAGCACATAAAGGCAAAGTACTGCAGCTAAAACCGATAAATAGCTGAAAAGCAAGGAGACAAAAAGGAACGAGGCTGTACATACGTCGTACACAAGCGTTAAAGAGATTTGTGCACCACACCAGAATTTCTGTGGCGCGACTTAAAACAAATTGGCACAAAAACTGATACAGAAACAAAGAAACAGGTGGGGAAGGGCACAGGACTAACAGTTGAAAAGATTTTTCAGGAAGCAAGAAACGAGGGTTCTGTAAAAACAAGACCTTTATCCTTGCATACAACAGCTTACCTTTGCACATCATAGTTTGCGTTGAAGAGACTGCCCTGCCACAAGCTAGTAATTTCTTCCGTCTCCTTTTCGGTGGGATTTCCTGACACCGTGACAAACATCATCAGAGTCTTCCCCTTTTTCGTCAGCTTCAGGACACTCTCAGGCTTTCCAGGATCAATTTTTGAGAAATCTATTGGTGCTGGAGGCCTTTTGTGTTCGGGAAGATCCCCCTCTTCAATGTCATCATCTTTCTGTTTTGGAAAGGAAAAGGAGGCTTTAAACTCAACGGTTTCACAAAGCTGTTGTTCTTCTAACTTTCCCATCGTTCAGAGAGTAACTCTGCTCTGATAAAGTATTTTTCAGTTTAACGATGGAGACTCTCATATCAAAAGAAATAGTGAGTTTCATTTCAGGATACTTCACCAAGAGTGCTTTTTCCATTTATAACCTGCCCCTCAAAATGATGCACTTTTTCATACTGACACATAGAATCTCATTTTACCACGTACTGAGAAATATTTCAGTCTCAAGGCTAATTCAATACAACTCCACCTAGCTACTTCATAAAATAACACTTTTTTTCTTCAGTTTCACAGAAATTTATTGAGTATACAAGATGAACTGAGAAAGTTGCACTAAAAAGCCTCATTCACACATAAGTAAGAAAGCGTTCATCTGCATACTGCTTTCAGAGGGCAAAACTCACTTCTGGGAATCATGCGATCGCTTGAGAATTTAATTTTCCTTACTTTGTGCTTTTACACAAATAAAACCACAAGAATTCAGAATTTCAATGCTCATGCCACATGAAATCTTTTATTAAAGGTTTCATGACTACTCTAATGCACAGATGCAGCTCAGTCTGACAACATAATCACCAAGAGCAAATCACTCTCAGAAAAAAGAAAAAAAAACTCTTGATGCCTCTGCTGAGGCTGACAGGCATTTAAATATTTGGAAAGGCAGAATTCAAACTGCTGCCCCTTAAAACAGCTTATGACAGAGAGGAGAGAATATAGCGACAACTTACATTGAGCAAGAACTTGATTTCTTAAAACAGTATTTGTATCACAGAATTAAAAAGTAAAAAAACCAAAAACACCACAGAACAAAACAGAAACACGCAGAAGTCTTATACTGGCATCCACCTAAGCACTAGTAAATCAGTAGAAATTAAGGCAGGTACTTTAGGCGTTGTTTTGACTTCAAACATGTAGTAAAAATATGCATCACTCCATTAGGAACATGAACTGTAGCAGTTCCTAAAGATACTCCCTTCAGAAGCCTCCAAGGTCAGGAGCCGAGCTCCATTTTTAGATCTAAGCATGCGCTGCCTTCTCATCTCTGCACATGCTTATACACAAACTCAACATCATCCTCTTACAACACCCCACTACAGGGAGCATCCCACACCCTTTAAAGGCTAAGGTTTCATGCAAGCGACCTACGTTCTTTCCCCATCTCAATTACGTAGTTTGCTGTCTCTCCGACAGGAGAGTTTACATTTTAGTTACCACAGAGTAACAGCTGTAGAAGCCTTAGGTTTTAACTTCTTTCCTTGCCAATTACCCATCTTTTAATGTCGCAATACTTCTCTTAAGGGAAGCTGGAAAGTGCGCATATTGGTAAAGTACACTGAAAACAAAAAATCTCGCATGACTGAACGAAAAACGTTCTTCAGAAGCAAAAGCAAATCAGGCTGGTTTGGCTAGCACAAAACCAGCTTATTTCACAGTTTTGAAAGGGAAAGGCAGAAACAAGTGTTTCCAAATACTCCTTACAATACAGAAATTGACTTCAGATTTAGTGACAACACAACCCACTAACATATATTACCTATTTTTCCCTTAAGTGTTCAACCAAATGATCATAAAGCTGTATTGTTACAGTTTTTTAATACAAATATTACAATAAGCAGTCAAAAGCTCCCCTATACATGACACTTTTCTTGTACAAACTACCACGCAGTTTTGTATTTATAACGATATCTACAAAGTAAGAGACTGAAAGAAAAGTGCAAGGTTTTGCTTTGAAATGTCTAGCAGATTCATTCACTTGAACAGTAACATGAGGCTTCAGAGGAAAAGCATTACATAGATACCGCAATAACTACAGATACCTTCTTTCTCCTCCCCTCAGCTCCCATTATGATGCACTCGTCACCAATGCCCTGGATTTTTATTTTTAAAAATAATAGCAACATCTGTCACCTAATACCTCAGCCCATTCAACAATCTTAGCTCAGAGTCAAGCCTGAGGAACCCTGAGCTCATAACAATAATGAACTATTTAAAGAATAGGACATTTCGCTAACAGAAAGACCTCCAGACTAGATTCTCAGTTCTGTTTCCAGCTGCTCTGGACTAAAGGCTGCTGGAGAGTCCACTTCCATGAGGGAAATCCCTAGTTGGCTTCCTTCAAGCTCTAGTTGTGCAACTGAGCTGCTGAAGGAACCTCTTTTCCCTGTTCCCCATGCTCATTTTCCACTAGATCACTCTCCCAGTTCACCGGGCAGTCATGCCCATGGCTGCACCAGAACAGTGCAAGGGGCAGCCTAAGAGCCCGAACAGAGACGGCTGTTCGTTCTGGGAAGGCTGCTGGAGCCCCAGCCTCAGCCTCACCAAGCTTGTGGCTGAACCCAAGGGGGTTACAGCCACCATCCTCCAATGCTTTTAGACTAACTGCCAGGGAAATAAAAAATATTAGGAGTAATCTCACTCAGTTGAAAGAAATGACATTTGATTCTGTCCAGAGCTGTGCCCTGTGCCCCCCACTCCTGAGCACAATTCCTGCTCTTATCCAAATTCATAATGGCTCCTTTGTTTCTCATCCCACCCCATCAAGTCCACCCATGCCCTCTCTTCTCCTCTATCCTCCAGCCACCACCCCCTCAAGTCTTTCATGTTCCTTATAACGCTTCCTGACTACCATCAGGCAAAATGCCATACAGCTACCCATCCCAAAGAGCAAACAACCGTTAATTGTTGAGCCGCTGCTTCAGTCACTTTCCCCTTCCAGGGCTCATGGCTGTATGCGCCTTTCCTCAGCGGCAACGCCAACCCGAGCAGCCAGCTCCCCAGCTGCTCAGCCACATCTGCACCCAACATGGCTACAAGCATTTGTGCAGCACATGGTGAACTGGATCAGAGACCTGCTCCAATTAAAGAGGAAAAACCCTGAACAGCCTCCTGACCCTGCCTGCCACATGGCTGGAACAGAATATACAGCCCAAGAGTCACGACAGCATTAACTTGAGTCTCTCTTTCATCCAGGCATGTAATTCACAAAATCA